GTGTTACCTTACAGATAAGTTAGTACCGCAATGTCCTTTTGTAACGCTCCAACAGTGTCCTTCTGGGGGTGGCGGCGTTGATTTCTCTGAAGCCGCTGCACTGAATGATACTTAGAATTTTATGACTTTTTTATATTTTTCTTACACATCGTAACTAAAATAATATATTTTTACTAAAAATATAACACGTTATTTACCCTTATCAGCAGCTCACGCTTGCATTGTCGGGTCCACGAGTCGGGTCGAGTTAACTCGATAACTCAGCATGGGTGAGGTCCGGGTATGAATTCATAATATGTTTATAAAATCAGATCTGATTCAAATCAGTTGAACTAGACCTGGGTCAATTATGGTTTCGACCCGAATACCCATTTTGGTATCCCTGTGATGGAGCGTGTCCAGGTTGGCATGGATGATGGGTGTTAGCTTTGTTGGCAACAACAAGAGTTAGTTTTGTTATCGATGGCAAGTGTAGGCCTTATTAACAATGATACTTATTAGTATTTGAGTTGATGGAAGATTTTAACCCTGTGATAATGGCGAGCATAATCATTAGGGCCAACGACATATGTTAGCTTACTATTAGTAGCGGGCGCCACTGTTATTGTAAACTTTAAACATACATATTATTGGCAAGTGTTAGTTTTAGTGTTGATTATAGGAATAAGTATTGTTGATGATAGTGGACATCAATTTTCACACCACAAAATCTAAACGGGAAGAATTATATCTATCTTTCATTTTAACTATTTAATTAGAGCTTATCAATTTCTTATGAACACCAGAAAAAAAATATAATTGCATTTTGTCTAGAATTGTCGGAAGAAATTTATGCATGTTATCCGAAGCCTCATATCATAAGATTCTTATTCTTTCTTGAAAATATGTTAAACTACATAATGAATACATATCCCAGTAAATAATCAAAATTCTACAACTAAAATCAACACAATGAAAAATAGAATATTATGTTTTCAATTATATAAAGAAATTTATGCATCAATATCTATATTGATTATATGTACTAAATTGAAAGAATTACATCTATCTTTTAATTTAGTCATTTAACTAGAGCTTACCAAATTCTTATAAATAATGAAAAGAAATATGATTGCATTTTTTCTAGAACTATAGGAAGAAAAAGCATGGCATACGGAGCCTCATATCATAAGATCTTTATACTTTTTTGGAAATATATAAAATTACGTAATGAGCACACATCCTAAAAAGTAATGAAAATCTTACAATCAAAATTAATGTAAGGTAAAAGAGAATAGTATATTGTAAATCATATAAAAAAATGTATGCATTATCTAAATCGGTTATCTATATCGATTGCTTAGTTTATAACATATCACATCTTAGTCTATTATATCATAAGTCGCAACATTAGTACATTCAACAATATTAATGCCAATAACCAGTATCGATAATGGTAAATAATATTAATGATAATAAATAATATCAGTGTCAATCACAATGTCAGTATAGTGTTAGTATCCTTAATATATATATTGAGTAAGGTTCTTGTCCAACAGCAAGTGTCATTCAAGTTATCTAAATATGCATGTCCGTCTTAAATACTTAGATGAGTAAAGACCATGCACCTTATGAGGGTTATACATTTGAAGGTGTTTATATAATAGAAATTGTATAACTCATAAGGCATATGTATTTTAAGGTTTCTAGATGAGTAGAGATCATATCTATCACTTATTGCATGAATATTTTATAGTGAGGGTATTGCCCAATACTAGTTGTTTTTCAACGCATTCTTAATAGTATGCATTCTAGGGGTTTTGAGTTGAAAGCCTATATAGTACTTACTTTTATGATAGATTTTTTATAAGGACCCTATCAAATATTCAATACCTTTTGAGGCTTCCTTACTAACGTGCCATATTAGAGTTTATTTTTGTAGTATTTTCTAAGTTTTCTAAAAAATTAATCAATAATCTATAGTGAGGAAAGTTGTGAGAACTTTCCTAAGGAATTATTCCTACTCTAAGTTGTTATCATGAGTGTGGGTCTCTGAAAGGATTCTGCTCGTGTGGTTCGAATGCAAAGAGCACGATCACACTGTCCCGTAGGACAAAATGGTCGTAGACCTTTACAATCGACACAAGCAGGCCGATGGAAGAGCAGATGGAGTTATATATACGATTAGCCATGGAGGATAGCGGCTTTCACCTACACACCTCGATAGATAATAATATATATAACCCTAAATTCACGAGATTTCCCCTATTCGATACATCAGCATCTAATAGGGTTTATTTGATTGTGGGGATCGGTTTCCTACGGGCGCAAGCCCCCAAAGTTAATTACATCCTAAGCCTTGACTTAGGAAAACTCTCGATTAGGGATGTTAGATTATCTTTTTCAAATGGGTTTAGTGCAAGGGGAAAATTCTAGGCTTTCCTAATCAAAGGGGAAGGTCCCAAATTGGCTCAATCAATCACCCATGGTTCATTCAACATCCGGCCGGTCTAAAGAGGAGAAAAACTGAAAAAAAGAAAGAGGCCACGCACTCAAACAAGCATGAGAGAAAGAGGGAGGCGGCGTCATCTGTGTGACACGGATAGGTAGGATTTATAGTCCCCGAAAGAATGGAGAACTTACCCACCAATAAGGTGTATAGAGGTACACTTGTACCCCCCCACCTTTAGACCCTAAATCTATAAAAGATGTAGTGTTGTATGCACAACACTAACATCTATGACCTAACTAATGCAGTCCTGGACTTATTCTTTGTCTGACAAATGATGTATGCAATTTTAAAAAGGCTTTATAAAAATTGTTTTTTGAATGACTAAACTTCCCCAGGTCCGGCACTTCATCCTCATAGGCCAGATTATCCAGACTCTACGCGCGGGCGGGAAAGCTTGTCTAAAAGGAGAGAGAATGTATGTATGCGCCCCCGAACGGTTCCGGCTATTCCCTAGAATCGTTATATTTCTATATAAATTAATCTTAAAATTTTATTATTAATTACGAGTAGAAGAATTTTTATCCCTAAAGAGCCTAGCGGTCAGACACAAGCGCATGCAAGAAAGAAACCTATAAAAAGCATGCCGGTTCTACTGCGCAAACAAAGTAAGTAAATCACAACACAGAAACAAATCCCACGAAAAAGAGTGTCCATGGCAAGTGCCATACAATATTACATCACAGAGTACAGTAAAGTAATGGTGGCCGGGCTCCACCGACAACAACCCGGAAATGACGCAAATCTTTAAAATGAGGCATTTTACATCTTCAGCCTTCTTCTTCACTTCCTTGATTCATCTTTGGATCATCTTCGTTCTCCCTTCTGGCTCTTCGTAGTGAATACTCCAAAAGGATGTCCAAATGAAAAAGGAAACCCCCTATAGGAGTTTACTTTTCCCTTTGGACTCCTCGTAGTGAGTGCTCCAAAAGGATATCCAAATGAAAAAGGAAACCCTCTGTGGGGGTTTACTTTTCCCTTTAGATTCCTATCTCTTTAAAAATACATCATTTTAATGATTTTTACAAAATTTACTATCAAATATATTACATTATGAAAATAGAAATATAGACTCTCCTGCAGGGGTTATCCTAAGCAGTTATAATAAACATCCATCCAAGCAATTATATATATGAATTAAAATGCTCATATAAATCACTTGGCCGTGCTCTGATTATTGGGGGCTAAGCAGCTGAAGTAGGTACCTAAAGCAGTTATATATGATTTATTAATTTTTAGCCCCCTTTTAGCGCTGTGTAAGCACGACCACCTGCAAGAAGACAGCATTAGTATGAAAGAGCGTGCCTAACCAATGAGTATTCTAACGTCACAATCACAGTACAGAAAGAAAAGCTAAAAGAAAGTAGTACAAAAATGACACAGCAGAAAAGCTACAACAGGTAGCAAAAACAACAACAAGCACACGAGTCACATGCAGAGCGTCACAACAGAGTACAGAAAAGTAAAGCAGAACAATAGCCTAACCTAAAGCTAATAGTCGTGTCCTAGCAAACTCATCTATGTGTGTGTCGGCTGTGTGGTTTTGATGGGTCCTATATGGGATAGTTTAGTTAGAATTGTTTGTATATTTTTTTGTCTGTTGAAAGGGGCAAAGGAAAGATTTTGGTTAAAGTTCAAATATTAGTGTTTTATGATTGATTTTTAGGATATTTTATTTTAAATGTTTGATTAACTACCACCTTTGTTTCACACCGAGGCCGTGAGGTTTATTTCACCCTCCTTGGGGTTAACTTAATAGCCTCGTAGGCCTGGGTTACCCAGTGATAATTAACTTTATTGGATTATTTTAATTTGTTATTAAAAGAGAAGAAAAATGTAGATAAAATATTTTTTATTGATCATATTTGTTGATTGATTTTAAAAATTATTCTAAGGTTTGATATTTATAAGTATCTTATCCTAATGAATTTTAGATTAAGATTTGATTTCCTAATTAAATCTATATCTTTTAGATTTTAAGTGGATTAAAAGTTAATTATTAGATTGATTGAATTGATTTAGGTTTGTGTTTTAAGTTTATAATTTAATAGTTTCAAATATTAATAAAAACTTACTTAAGAGTTAAGTGTTTTAATAGATTTTTAAAAATTAGATTAAAGTTAGTTGGTTGATTATTAGTAGATTAAAGAAAATTAAAATCTAGGAAAACGTGTCATTAGGTTTTTATTTTAATGTCTCTATCATATAAGGAACATGCATCCTAAGTCTATGTTTTCTAAGACTCGGTCCTTAATTTTTGTCCTTAGATGTCACTAATATTGTAGGATCGAAAGTGACGTTGTTTTCTAATTCCTGAGACTTCTATACGGATGTCGCAGGGTTTTAGGGATCTAAAAAAAAGTAAAAGCAATCCTAAATATATAATTGAAGTTTCTAAGGTCCTAAGGGTGGGAGGCGTACAACCATCTAGGCCCCTAAAAGTTTTCTAAGTTTTAGTAAACTTACAGCACCGGGGGCTACGACCTGGTGGTTCTGCCCGTAGCGCCCCTACCAGATGGGTAGGGACGACTGATGCTTGGATCCGATTGTCCTAGCT